TACAGCACACCCACCACTGTCAACAACAACACTGTCACCACCACTGTCAACACCACCACCCACCACGTCAACACACCACCACACACCACCCCTCACAACAACCTGTCACCACCACGTCAACAACAACCTGTCACACCACTGTCAACAACAACACTGTCACCACCACTGTCAACAACAACACTGCCACCACCACTGTCAACAACACTACCACCACCACTGTCACAACAACACTGTCACCACCACTGTCACAACAACACTGTCACCACCATGTCACAACAACACTGTCACCACCATCCTCAACAACACTGTCACCACCACTGTCAACCACCACCACCACTGTCAACAACAACACTGTCACCACCACTGTCAACAACAACACTGTCACCACCACTGTCAACAACACTACCACCACCACTGTCAACAACAACACTGTCACCACCTGTCAACACCACCACTAACACCACCACTGTCAACAACCTGCCACCACCACTAACACCACCACTGTCAACAACAACACTGTCACCACCACTGTCAACAACAACACTGTCACCACTGTCACAACAACACCGTCACCACCACTGTCAGCAACAACAACACTCACCACCACCACAACCACCACTGTCAACAACACCCACCACCACTAACACCACCACTGTCAACAACAACACTGTCACCACCACTGTCAACAACAACACTGTCACCACCACTGTCAACACAACCTATCACCACCACTGTCCAACAACACTGTCCCACCACTGTCAACAACAACACTGTCACCACCACTGTCAACAACAACACTGTCCACCACCATCAACAACACTACCACCACCACTGTCAACAACAACACCGTCACCACCACCATCACAACAACAGTCACCACCACTGTCAACAACACTGTCACCACCACCAACAACACTGCATCATCACTAACACCACCACTGTCAGCAACAACAGTCACCACCACTGTCACAACAACCTGCCACCACACCACCACTTCAACCCACCACCTGTCAACAACAACCACTGTCACCACCACTGTCAACAACAACACTCACCACCACTGTCAAACAACACTGTCACCACCACTGTCAACAACAACACTGCCACCACCACTGTCAACAACAACACTGCCACCACCACTACACCACCACTGTCAACAACAACACTGTCACCACCACTGTCAACAACAACACTGCCACCACCACTGTCAACAACAACACTGTCACCACCACTGTCAACAACAACACTGTCACCACCACTGTCAACAACAACACTGTCACCACCACTGTCAACAACAACACTGTCACCACCACTGTCAACAACAACACTGCCACCACCACCCACCACTGTCAACAACAACACTGTCACCACCACTTAACACAACACTGTCACCACCACCATCAACCAACACTGTCACCACCACTGTCAACAACAACACTGCCACCACCACTGTCAACAACAACACTGCCACCACCACTGTCAACAACAACACTGTCACCACCACTGTCAACCACACCACCACCACTGTCAACAACAACACGTCACCACCACACTATGAACAACACTGCCATCATCACTAACACCACCACCATCAACACCACCACTGCCATCATCACTAACACCACCCTGCCACCACTAAACACCACTGGCACCACCACTAACACCACCACCACCATCATCACACCACCACTGCCACCACCACTAACACCACCATAACAGCACCCTGCCATCATCACCGCCACCACCACCAATACCACCACCGCCACCACCACTAACACCACTGGCACCACCATAACACCACCACCGCCATCATCACCCTAACACCACCGCACGTCAACACCACCACTGCCATCATCACTAACACCACCACTGCCCACCACCACTAACACCACCACCAGCACCACTGCCATCATCACTGCCACCACCACTAACACCACCACCCACCACCCTAACACCACCATGGCACCCACTACACCACCACCACTGCCATCATCACTAACACCACCACTGTCAACACCACCACCGCCATCATCACTAACACCACCACTGCCACCACCACTAACACCACCACTGGCACACCACTAACACCACCACTAACACCACCACTGCCATCATCACTCACCACACCACTGTCAACACCACCACTGCCATCATCACTAACACCACCACTGTCACAACAACACCCACCCCACTAACAGCACCACTGCCATCACATCACTAACACCACCACTGTCAACACCACCACTGCCATCATCCACTACACCACCACTGTCACCAACAACACCACCAACACCCTAGCACCACTGCCATCATCACTAACACCACCACTGTCAACACCACCGCACCATCATCACGCACCACCACTGTCAACAACAACACTGCCACCACCACTAACAGCACCACTGCCATCATCCTAACACCACCACTGTCAACACCACACCTGTCATCACTAACACCACCACTGTCAACAACAACACTGCCATCATCACTAACACACCACCACTGCCACCACCACTAACACCACCACTGCCATCATCACTTACACCACCACTGTCACACCACCACTGCCATCATCACTAACACCACCACTGCCACCACCACTAACACCACCACTGCCACCATCACTACACCACCACTGCCCACCACCACCACTGTCAATACCACCACTACACACTGTCAACACCACCACTGTCAACACACCACTAACACCACCACTGTCAACACCACCATGTCAACACCACCACTACACCCTATTATTAACAACAATACTCTAACAGGCTGATGACGTCTCCTCAACACACACACACACACACACACGAGGGGGAGGGGGGGGAGGGAGGGAGGGAGGGGAGGAGGAGGTCGAGGGAGGAGGGAGTGGGGAGGAGGAGGTCGAGGGAGGGAGGAGGTCGAGGAGAGGGAGGCGAGGTGAGGGGGAGGGGGCGAGGGGGTGGGGAGGAGGTCGAGAGATACAATAATTTTTCACCTAAAATACATTAAGACATAAAGCGTGCAGGCAAGGCGGTCAAGGGAAGACTAATATATTGATCAAAGTTGTGGCACTGCCCTCCACCCGTGGGAGTGCCAATGGTGCCAGGAGGAGCAGATGACACCAGCCATAGTGCCACCAAACCTTCCATATATAGTGTGTGTGTGTGTGTGTGTGTGTGTGTGTGTGTGTTACTAAGGAGGCAACAAGAAATGTCAAGTCTTCTTCCTTCCCCCCCACTAGTACCTCTCTCTCTCTCTCTCTCTCTCTCTCTCTCTCTCTCTCTCCCCTAACATCCAGCTCTCCCTTTCTCCTCATTCCTTCTTGTTCACCCTAAGGACTACTCTCTTACTCCCGCAGTTAGAGAGAGAGAGAGAGAGAGAGAGAGAGAGAGAGAAGAAGTGCCTCCTCCTTGAGGCAGCTTATATGGTTTTAATGGCCTTTACTAATTCTCACTGCCCCCCCTCCTCCTCCTCTCATTTACTCTAACCTCCCTCCTCCCTACCTATTCCTCTCATTTGTTATCGGCCTCTCCTCCCTCCCTTCCTTTGTCTCATTCCTTTAAACTCTCCCTCATTTCCTTTGGTCTCTCTCTCTCTCTCTCTCTCTCTCTCTCTCTCTCTCTCTCTCTCTTCCATCAAATCATTTTCTTTCCCCTCGCTTTTCTCTCTCTACTTTCTCCTTCCCATTTCTCTCGTTTTCCCTTCACCCTCCTATGCCTCTTACTTTCTGTTTCCCCTCTCTTCCCTCCCCGTCTCTCTTTCTCCCTCACTTCTCTCTCCCACTTTAACCTCTTTTCATTTCTCTCACCTTCCCTCTCTCCTACCCTCCCTACTCCCATCTCCCTCTCTCTCTCCCTCCACTCCCTCTTCTCTCCCTCTCCCTCCCATCTCCCTCTCTTCTCTCCCTCACTTAACTCTTCCTCAACACAATACCCCAAAAAACAGCTGAGGTAAACAAAAAAGCTTGAGGAACACAACACATATAAGCTTAAGCTGATGGCAGAAAAGATAAACCATGAAAACAAACAATAAATAAACAAACCCAAATTAAAGACTTGAAGAAACAAACAAATACACAACTATAAACCAATAAACAACTTAATGAGTAAATAAAGAAAAAAAACAGATAAAACACAGGTAAGACTCAGGTAAAAACAGCCAATTAAACCTTACGAGGAAAAGTGGTGGGAGAGAGAGAGAGAGAGGTGGGTCAAGTATGGGATATAAAGGGAATGAGGAAGGCAGGATGGGGAATCGTGGGTGAGTGATGGTGAAATGGATGAATGAAGATAGAGGTGGATGAGGAGATAGATGAGAGGTGGGTGAGGAGGTAAAGATGTGGATGACAAGTTGGATGAGGTGGGTGAGAAGGTAAGAGGTGGATGAGGTAATTAGAGGTGGATGAGGTAGAGGTTAGAGGTGGATGATGAAAGAGAGTTGTAGGTGGGTGACATAAGACTTAAAAACAGAAGAGTCTAGCGCCCGGAGTTTTAAAACCCCACTACCGTTCAAGAGGGTCGCCGTGCTTCAACCAGAGTTTAAAAAAAATTAGTTGTGAGGGACACGGCAGTACAGAGGAAAACACAACCTTATCGACCTAACACATACAGGTCAACACCAGTACAAGGAAGAGGGTAAGGGCTAGACGAGGAGTTCAGTACAGAAGAGGGTAAGGGCTAGACAGGGAGTTCAGTACCAGGAAGAGGGTAAGGGCTAGACGAGGAGTTCAGTACCAGGAAGGGTAAGGGCTAGACAGGGAGTTCAGTACCAGGATGAGGGTAAGGGCTAGACAGGGAGTTCAGTACCAGGAAGAGGGTAAGGGCTAGACGAGGAGTTCAGTACCAGGATGAGGGTAAGGGCTAGACGAGGAGTTCAGTACCAGGAAGAGAGGACGGAGAAGTAGGGAGGAAGAAGGAGAGCAAAGGGGATAGTTGGCTGGTAGGATAGAGACGGAGGAGGGAGGGGGAGGAGGAGGGTGAGAAGGGGGAAACAAAGGGGACAGAGGAGCTCACTGCACGACGGTTCCTACAGGAGTCTGATGGACCTCCAGCATCTGGTTGTCGGTGGCATCGTGAGGAGATGACTCGTCCATGCTGGCCAGTGGTGGGTCACGGGACAGCAGCAGCCGCTCCTTCATCTCCCTCAAATACGGGTACTCGCTCCCTCCGCCGCCCTCTGTTGGAAGAAAGGGAGAGGCGATCGTTAACTCACTTGTTGTTGAGGGGTAAAGGTACTCAAGGTAGTCATTTCAGGTCACCAATATAGGTCATACTCTCTCTCTCTGTTATTGATATACTGTATATATATTATTGATATTGAAACAGTTTATTTAGTCAGAAGAACACAGACACAGAGCCGATAATAACAATATTAACATGGCTGAGCCAGTTGAGGGCCTGAGCTCTCTTGAAGGCACCTGATATATACTGTACATTTATCTCAAGGAAGTATTATGTAACATTTAGTATCATCTGGAATAGTACACATAGCATGGTGGTAATAAGACATATCAGAATGTTACCACAGTTATCATCATATTTAATTATATTATTTATTTTTTTACGTTTATATTATAAGTAAATACATAATTTATAGTGGAAATTGAAAAAAAAATATTATAAGGGAGGGAAGCAGTACAACATGGGTTATATTAAGGTGGAACAAGAGGACAGAGCTGTCAGGATTATGTCAAGTTGGCAAATACATTTATTGCGATGTTAATTTCTAATCCATCCACATGACAATGACTGATAAAACGGTTTTGGTGGTACAACTATAGCAAACCCCTCCCAGATGTTTCTTTTAAGGGCAGTGAGGATACAGCACACTGCACACTATTCCCGTCGGTAAACAAGGAGATAAGTGCTGGCCGCCACAGCACTCGTCCCCCTTAACTTCCTGCCAAACTAAAGTTAAGGACACAATCACAAATGGGAGCGAATCAGACACCCTTAGGACGAGAGGTGAGAGTTTTATCCACTTGGCCACAGCAACATAACGTTATATATATATTTTTTTTTCGTCGAGTCCAATTCCAGAGAGTAGGTGGTGGTGGTGAGTGAGTGAGTGAGTGAGTGAGGTGAGTGAGTGTGTGTGTGTGTATTGATATTATTATTGTGTGTGTGTGTGTGTGTGTGATATTGTGTGTGTATTGCACTGTATCAAAATGTAGATTAAAAAAAGAAGAAAAATAGCAAAACAAGATTAAAAATAGACTAAAACAAAAAGGTAAAGAAATAAAAAAATTTAAGAAGATGGAAGAAACGAGTAAATGCTACATATCATACATACACATCAACAACAGTATACATATAATATACAGTTCAGACTCAACTCAATAGTCATAATAATACTTCAATTCTTTGGTTGATTCAGAAAACTACAAGACGAGTGATGGTTAGTTAAATGGGGCCCAGTCCTAATGGGTGTATTGGCCCCTGTCTCATGGCAATAACAATTACATAAATTTGGGTTAATACATTTAGTTTATATAATCCAATCACTTGACTTTCACGAGAATCGGAAGGGTGACTTAACTCAGCTGAGCCCTGTCCTTAACTAACACTCACAGCTTACAGTGTTAATTACGGTGCTTATACTAATAGCCTGTGACCTCTTTAGTTTATCAATAAATGGAGAAAAGACCATTTGGGTTTGTAACTTAACCCCTTAACTTATTTATATATCAGCCAAGTTAAAAGGGAGCTCTACCCAAAGCTTATATATGGGCCCCAGTCCTATTAGGTCCCTAAACCTAACCTAATTTAACCTATCGTAAACTAACCTAAATCTAACCAAACTTAAACTAACTTTACCTAATCTATCAAAATTTAAAGTTAACCTAAACCAGCCTAAGCCAACCTAACCTAAGCTATCCTAACATATACATATTAACTTAAACAAACCTTAACCTAGCCTAACTAAACTTAATCTCACGTAAACTAACATAATTTAAACAAACTTAACCTAACTTAGCTAACCCAATTTAACCTAACCTTACCTAACCAGAGTTAATGGACCCCCAAATGCTGATGGTTCAGATAAGTTCGGTTAGCTTTGGAATCTCAGTGATAATAAAATCTCTGGATGCCCATCTTGGGATATTCTTGGCTTAAATCGATTTGCGGTTTACCACTGTTTGTATACCTCTACTGTCTACTGTACTCCGTGAAAAAAAATGTAAACTCGTATGATGGTAAACTATCTATCTATCTATCAACTAGAAGGGGCATCTGAAAGCCCTTAAATAAACCCCAAGTTAGGAAGATCTAACTGAATAAATATCTACCTAGCGACGGGAGCCCAGCACTTTAGTCACCCCTGAACGACCCAGCTGCTTACGTTTTCTTCTTCACTGGCTCATCCGTTTTCTCTGATGGGAACAAAGGATTGGAGGCGAATTTACGATTATATTGTGGGTGTCGTGCCAATATGGAGATGCACCCTTCAAAATTGGTACATTTGTATGCAGTCACACGTTCACGAGGTCATAAACGTACACAGAGGGGGGAGGGGAGGGTTAGCTTATGTGCACCTGAATACGTACACAAGTGCAAAAGACTCCAAACGTAAAGAAAAAAAAAATTGGTATAACGGAACATTTACGAGGCAATACACACACACACACACACACACACACACACACACACACACACACACACACACACACACACACACACACACACACACACACACAGAGCCAATCACTAGGCAATAATCAGAAGCCATGTTGTTTCACTCCCTCGCCAATAATTACACCATAACAAGACCATAAACGCCCCCTTGTGTGTGTGTGAGCTGTGAGGTCACTAAAAAGCCACATCAATTATTTTTTTTCCCTCGTAAATGAAGCTGTGAGAACGCATCTAAATGATTCACTTTCTGCTACCACAACAAAGGATTGATTCTCGGTGGCACGTAAGTCATTTTTTGGGGGGGTTGAACTCTCGTAACTGCAGATGTGAAGACGTATCTGAATGGCTCTCTTAAGCTGCAATAATATGATGGCAAAAGTAATGGTGTCATGAGCACAGAGACTTAACATTAATTTATGGGGCACTTTTTACAATATATATGTAAGGCAAACAAAAATTAATATACGGAGAGAGAGAGAGAGAGAGAGAGAGAGAGAGAGAGAGAATTGTGGTAAGGCGTCGTGGTTGGGAGAGGAGTTGAGAGTGAGCGAGAGAGAAGAGAAAGAGAGAGTTGCCTAGCGACCATCACCATGACAACGCTCCGGGAAGGAAGGGAGGGAGGGAGCCACGCCCATCACCCCCTCATTCTCCCCCATCGTCCCTCCTCTCTCCCCCCTATCGCATCCCACCAACAGAATCGCATAAGTTGGACCTGTGTTTGTGTCGGCTGAATAGAAACCGCTATTTAACGCGCTATTCTAGATGTTCTTGGCTATTAGACACATTATGCTACACAAGAACAATTAATTACCACATTGTCTTATACATTACTAATCATTCATAAAATATACTCTCTCTCTCTCTTTCTCTCTCTCTATATATATATATTAACGATAATTAACCTCCTATATACGGTATATCAGGTTGCGTCGTCAGCACTATACCCGCCTTACATAATCTGACTTGACACTATTTCCCGCGTTGAAGGATTTTTTTTTCATGGTTAGTCTAAATACTTCTTGGTCTACACACACACACACACACACACACACACACACACACACACACACACATATTAATACTATGCAAACAAAATATATATACAGGACATACAGTACACAAACCTGTTATATACACGAATAATAACAAATCCAAGACCAGTATTTATACAAGTATACATAACGCCATTTGCACAACAGTATATGTGTTTGAGGAGCCATTTTGTGAGCGTACAGTTCTGACCTAACCTTAACCGGATCAGCTGAAGATTAGACACCCCAACTTGTTTCATCTGATGATTAACCACACGAATGTTAACCTAACCTACCCATAACCTAGCCTAGCCATACCTAACCTAACCTAACCTAACCCCCCCTGGTAGCGTTAAGGTGTATAATCAGGCCAAATAAGCTGGGGGGCTAATCTTCACTTGGTTCCCTTCACTCGTCTCATATCAACCACAAATTAACAACACAAAATTATACCAAAATTAACTAACATTATTTTAATCTTTCATCATAAGAGTTAAATTTAACCTATAACAACTTACCTAAACTATACGAGACCTAAATTTACCTAAACTTAAATTAACTAACCAAGGTTGATAATTATACGTGTGTGTGTGTGTGTGTGTGTGCGTGTGTGTGTGTGTGTGTGTGTGTGTGTGTGAGTGTGTGTGTGTGTGTGTGTGTGTGGATGTCCTCCCCTTGTGGCGTGTGCTCTGCTGGGCGGGGCGGGGCACTGGTCGCTAACGTCCACAGAAAATGGTCCCACTAGTGTATCAGAGAAAACCGGGAAACTGAAAGCCTCCAGGGAGACCCGTCTCTATCCCACCACACACAAACACTCGCTTATATACACGTACGTTTACAAACACAAATATATAAACAAACTCAAACTTCGACATAAAACTCGTCAGCACGTGTGAAAAAATATATGTAAAATTTAAATACATACACATAAAACAGCGATTCATTTATGATAGCGCCCTCTATTGGACCATAAACACTAACAATAACAATAACAACAATAATAACAACAATAATAATAATAATAATAATAATAACACTAATAATAACAATAACAATAACAATAACAATAATAATAATAATAATAATAATAATAATAATAATAATAATACAATAATAATAACAATAATAATAATAATAATAATAATAATAATAACAATAACAATAACACTAATAATAATAATAATAATAATAATAACAATAACAATAATAATAATAATAATAATAATAATAATAATAATAATAACAACAACAACAATAACAATAATAATAATAATAATAATATAATAATAATAATAATAATAATAAGTCACCAAATTATTCATGGACACGTTACACATGTACAATAATTAAGAGCTAATGGAGGCACGGGCTTGGTATCCTACAGCGCCTACCTCCCTCCTCTCTACAACACCTCCCCACCATCCCCCTCCTCCTCCTACACTTCCCTTCCCCTACCTCCTCCCTCTCTACAACACCTCCCCACCATCCCCCTCCTCCTCTACAACACCTA